GTGCTTACCCTTTAGGTTGCCATCTCCATGAATAATGACATGATCTCTAGGAGGAAGGATTTTGCCAAATTGACATAGACCTCCCAGCCAATAGGCCGCAATACAGTTTGCAGAGACATAGGTGAATGGAATTCCAGCCTCTTCAATTGCTTTCCTCACCACCATCTTGTCATCAAAGGCCACCTTTCCAGGTTCCATTGCATTCTTCATTTTTGCAGCATCCATACCAAACTCAGATGGTATAAATCTCTACAAAAATCAAAACCGTCAGTTAAAATCTTGTCTACTGTCTATTCGAATTCAGCAGTGTACATACCAAACACACAAGATTCATAATGGGCAATCGTATATATTTTTACCTTTACATTTCCAGCCTCTTTCATAGCTTCAACAAGCTTGAGTTGAAGCAAAATACTGTGACTCCGAATATGTACGCCGGAAACCGCGCAGATTACGACATCGACCAGCTTCACAGCTTCCACCAGGCTCTTGTAATCCTCGAAAGATCCAGGTACAAGATGAGCACCTTGCTTTTTGAATGATATTAGCGTTTCAACTTTATCAATATCTACACCAATCTGATTCTCAGGTCTTTGCATAACGTATGTTTCATGCCCTTGGGCTAAACTTGCCTTGACCAATCTCTTTCCCATGTACCCTGTTCCACCAATGATCAAAACTTTGCTTTTTCCCATCTCTCTATGTTAATGCAATGAGGGTCCGAACAAGATGGTGTGGTTTATGGGTTTCTTGCATATTTATAAATACATTACTTCATGTACAGTAGCAAAATCAACAGAAATTTTACCGAACACGCACAACATGTGAGTCCCGCACATTTTTTTCTTGGATTAATTTATGTGTACATAGGTGTACACATAAAGGTTGACATAATGTGAGCGGGGTGAAGCCCACACTACAGTATCTTGGGGCCCACCCACTATATGTTTTCTATAAAAAAAAATTATATACAAATGGAATAATTCTATTTATAGTGTGTGAAATTTTGCCACTGTTTGGTAATTTAAATGAAAGTCAACAATTTATTTTCACTACAGATTTTATGAATTTCACGACTTTTTGACCACATATTTCATCAACTTCTATCAAAATTTACTAAAAAACTGATTTTAACTCCCACCAAACGAACAAAGGCTTAGTATAGATACTATCTAACCACCAATTTGAAAGTTGTGTAATAATTTGAATTTTTATTGGAATGATATTGGTAATGGTCAAATCAACCGGAAGAATTTAGAATGCTACAGTATGAGAAGCGAGAAAATAATAATAATAATAATAAACCACCCACAAACACAATTGAGTGCCTATTTGATAACTATTATTTCAAAACTCTTTTTTTCTCGTATTCATTTTTCAATCACATATTTTTACAAAAAAATATTTTTCACGAAAATTCAAAATCTGTCTATTTTTTAATCACACATTTCTCAAAAATTTACAATTTAAAAACTCGTTCTTCCAAAAAAAAGGACGATCAAACATATATGATTTGGTAAATCTTCCATCATGAGGATGTTTGATTTCTATTTTCTTAAAAATACAGTTCTCTCTATCTTCTTTTCAACCACACATTTTTCAATTAAATAATATTATTCGCAAATTAAAAAAAAAATCCTTATTTTCCTAATGAAAGACCCTAGAATTTATGGTAAATTTCCTTTCCTCAATTGCAATATTCCTTCTTTCTACAACCAAAAACACTATTTAAATCGTAATTTTCAATTCTCTAAACAGTCAAACTTATCGATTATAAAAGACTTGTTTTCTCGTTTACTTTGGCAAAGTTTCAAAGTGTTAAATTCTATTAGGAATATGCCCTAACTTTTGAAAATTCTAGATGTTAATATATCTTCTAAATATAAGGTTTGAAAGGAAAATAAAATATGATAAACACGTCTATTATTGAATTAAATTGACCTAATAATTTTATCAAAAATGATAGATGTGTGTTTACGAAAGTATTGTTTCGTTTGAAATGTTGTAAGTGTACGGTTCCTTAATAAGTAGTATCGTACCCACAGAGATGATACTAGTTCAAATTCGAATTAACTTGGTCTTAACCGAAACAATTAAAAATTGTGATTTTTCCTATAATTAAATTGTGATTTAATAATATATTTATAAACGCAAAGTCTAACTTAATTAAAATAAATGCAAGTTGTATAAAAGTATGGTGATAAAAAGCGTACTAAGATCCCAAATCCTCTTATATCAATCCACTTTAGTTCGAACTTTCAATTTGACAACACGATTCAAATATGAAGATCAATACTTCTAATTTGTTTAATAATCTATCTCAAATAGAATTAAGTATATTTTTATATGTGATCCGACTATAATTCTATGATGGATGCAAACCTATAAAATGCATTAAAGATTTGTGAATATATAAAGATCACGTAAAGTATAGCAGTATATTTATATCCCTTATCAGATTCTGGATTGACACTTTCTAATTTATTTTCAATCTTTAAAGGTAAAATAAGCCACAAAACTCATACAACTATTACGCATATAATCGTAGAGAAAAATAAATCCATGACAATCATTCGATAATTAAAAACGTGCTTTAATATCCAAAACAAAATTCAAAAATTAAAGTTTCGTAATACAAGGTTCATTGTAATCCCAACATTAAAAATATTTAACTACTCGTAAAGTTGAAATTAAACAAATAAAAATGAAACGGACATTTCCGATAAATTTGACGTGATTAATTTTCCAATTTGTTGTTGCCGTGTCTGCCGTCTCGTGTCTAATTTTCTCAGCCGCCTTTCCCAGTTTTCGGCCCTTAATACTGTCCAAATGATGGCCGTGTGTGCGGGTTCCTTTTATTCCAAGTATCGCCGCCTTTTCTTTTTCAATTAGGGGTCCCCAAAGTAGTCCCCGAAAAAGAGATCCACTAGTGAAAATGTTTTTGCAATTGTTTCAAAGAGTAATTTTCAAAACTATAAATTATTTTCTTCCAGTATCTTTTCCAAGATTCGGAGAGTTTAGCAATTATAACCCCTACTTGAAAGGTCTTCGGGATTTCAATCTTCACCATCTTTAACCTATTGACAATCACTTGTAATTCATGGATTTGCGGAAGTAATGTGATATTTTCTAGAATTTAAAATCGAAATACCTCGAGATTAGAAACTTCTTAGTACCTTCTTCCACTTGTCTGTACTTACTTTCTAGAGCATCCCATATCTCGTTTGCCGATGTTGTGTTGGTGTATAAATCATACAGGTGATCTAATTAACTATTTAATTACTTCTAAATACACAATCTAACTTTTCCACTAATTAAATTGTGATTTAATAATATACTTATAAACGCAAAATCTAACTTAATTAAAATAAATGCAAGTTGTATAAAAGTATGGTGATAAAAAGCGTACTAAGATCCCAAATCCACTTATATCAATTCACTTTAATTCGAACTTTTCAATTTGACAACACAATTCAAGTATAAAGATCAATACTTCTAATTTGTTTAATAATCTATCTCAAATAGAATTAAGTGTATTTTTACATGTGATCCGACTATAATTCTATGATGGATGCAAACCTATAAAATGCATTAAAGATTTGTGAATATATAAAGATAACGTAAAGTATAGCAGTATATTTATATCCTTTTCAAGATTCGGAGAGTTTAGCAATTATAACCCCTACTTGAAAGGTCTTCGGGATTTCAATCTTCACCATCTTTAACCTGTTGACAAACACTTGTAATTCATGAATTTGCGGAAGTAATGTGATATTTTCTAGAATTTAAAATCGAAATACCTCGAGATTAGAAACTTCTTAGTACCTTCTTCCACTTGTCTGTACTTACTTTCTAGAGCATCCCATATCTCCTTTGCCGATGTTGTGTTGGTGTATAAATCATACAGGTGATCTAATTAACTATTTAATTACTTCTAAATACACAATCTAACTTTTCCACCTTCCAAATAAACCTATATTTAATTTTTATCTATAAATACATAATCTAGCTTCATCTAAATCCAATGAGGAATAAATTGAGTTCCAACACGAAAATATATTACATGTTTGATACACAATATTAAATAATATTAGGCAATAAATTATCCAAAATTTAACATTCTTCATTACTATCTAATTTACTTTACGGAACGTACAATTATATTATATGTAATTGATACATTTAGAGAGAAATAGACTCAACTAAACAGTGAATACACATTACATATAATTTCTTCCTTAATCTCATGTAATCCATTTTACTCAAAACTCGTGTAGTCAATATTACTCAAAACCATTAAAATTTTTTTTTTTCAAATTAATTGAAAAACCACTTATTTTAAACCCAAACGGTAAAAAACTCAAAAAAAAAAAAAAAGGCTTCCAACGGTAACATTCTTGCTCTATGCGACCACATAGAGCAACTCTATGCGGTCGCATAGAGTTAACCGTACAGGGACATGCGACTGCATGGTGAAATGAACCATGCAGTCGCATGGTTTAAGAATTCACAACCACATGCTCAATTATCATTCCACAATTGATTATTTAATTGTTGAACAACATTACAACAAAGTCGTGATAAAGAATTTAGACAATGTGATAGTGGGGACAGAAAAGGACTTTTGGGGGTTGGTGCTGGAGGACTTCGACCAATTGGTGGTGGTGGAGGGTTAAAGGGGATTATTTTTCTCAGGGGTTGGTTGATGATTGAGTATTATTTGTTCGTTCTTAGAACCCTTCCAAGTCAATGTACCATCAAAATGCTACTAAACATGAACCACTCGGGTCTTTTTCGGTTGTAGGACTCCAATTTCTAACTTCGTGATAGAGAGGCACCGATAGTTTAATAAAAATAGCAAATTATGGTGAAGTATTAATTCATGCAGCTTTTATTAGGTTGTCCTAAGATTTTCCCTCAAGAGACAATTTGTCTCTATTCTTTGCACTATAATTTTTTCGCTAAATGTTACGAACCCTTGACGTATGAACCACGTAATCTATCCTTGGTTCTTACCTTTTGATGTAACGGAAATATCAACATTACTCCAACACTACTTAAAAATGTGGTAATAGTGACCAAAATTATGTACACATTTAATTTTGATAGAAAAATAGAAGGTATTGAAGTTAAGATTTAAATGAGATATAAGTGAGATTTTTAAATCGAAACGCCAACTTGAACGTGCTATTTTTGTAGCTGTAGCATGAAGAATAACTAAGAGGTCACAGATAGGGTTGTTGAACTAACTTATTCGACTAATATGAAAAGATGTGGGGGAGGTCAAATGAAAGATCCTCAAAGCCAGCATTTGTTCATGTTCTATAGCTTGAAATCTTGCTAAAAATTTAAATCAAAACCCATAATTAATATGAACGGTATATTTCACAGGATTCATAACTTTTTAACCGCATATTTTATTTATTTTTATTAAAATCTAATTTTTAGGTACATTAAACACGGGCTTTATTTAATCATGCATTCTTGATTTTCAAGAAAAGTAACAAATGTAATCACATCAATGCATACTTTACACTATGGTTGTTACCATACCAAGCGAACCTCTTCTCATATGTCAAGGGTGATGTGATATCCCCCGTCATGCTTCGATCCCACGTCTATGGTGGTGTGAAGTCAAATGATAAAGAAATAATGGCTTTTTTTAGTTTATATTATAATTAATTACTTCTTAAATGGTTAAAGTTTCAATGTATTGACTTCTCTTTCAAAAGTTTTGAAATTTCTTGAATCTTTGAACACTCGACTTTGTGAGTTTCAATATGGTAGATTGCCTAATCGAGGACAATATCTCATCTTACTTCTTGCATGCTAGCTCTAATCGAGTCCTGAGTCAACACAATTACAATTTTGGGAAATTTAGGTCGAGTTGATAGTTTGAAAAAACGATTTAGAATAGATTTTCACTATGTAAAAGAAGCCATAATCTATGTAGTTTGTGATATTCATCATTTTGAAAAAGGGTTTCATGTACATTTTTTCACAAAATGTTACCAGCCCGGCAGCTCTTACCTACGAACAATGTAGCGTGCCTTTAATGGTACATTGATACATACTTCTTGTTGTCACGGAATGTTGATATCACTCCACATTACTTGAAAACGCAGCAACGGCGATGAAAAAATTACCAACGGAAAATTTAATAACGCTCTGAGAATTTAACCTCGTTTATTTTTTGAATTTATTAGGAATTTATTTGTGATTTTCATGTTTTCAAAATTTTATTGCATAGTTGTCACTTGTCATCGACTCATGTCATGAGATGTTTGATCTCCTATACCTAGCAAAACCATCATGCAATCCCTAGTTTTGCAATATTATGCGAAGACTAAATTCTAATGTATAATATTTAACAAGTCATATTATAATAATAACAAACCTATTAAATTCGTTTCATACATCTTTGTTCACAATTCCTTATAAGCCCCACTATATCTACTGAATTCGTTATATAATTTAAAGTACAATTCCCTCATATTATATTAAGAAATCTAAACTAAGGGGGGCTGTGCGTGACAAAGCTTCTATAAAAGTTTTAGCAAATTTCAATAAACGTTAGTGAAATATGTTATTGAAAAATGGATAAAAGTCGCGTGTGAAACAGTAAAACGATAATTGATTTAAATAATAACATTCAAAGTAAAATCCAAATGTTGTTGGATCATGCACATTACATAGATAAATTATAGCTATAATTTCGAGTTTTCATACGTATCGCTTGAGGTAGTCTTCGACAGTAGTACACTTAACCTCTGGATAAAGTTTCGATGCTTCTTCTTCATCTCCTATCTTAAACCTTGTAAGGCATCCCTCATAGCAAACATCATGATAATGGCTTAGTCCCACTTGCTGAGCATAGTCGAGTACTGATATAAAATAATTGTACACGTGTTAGGTATTTGATGGAAATAAATCTAATCTGCGTGTGAGGAGACGTGATGAATAGGGATAATTATGTCTTGAGATCTATAGTGCACCGACGTGGACATGTATGTCCGACACGCTATTTTTAAAAAAAGTATAGACACGACAAGTTATCGACACGTTGATTAAATTCTTAAAAATTCTTCCTTTATATAGTATAAATTTAGTTTTATACTTGTTATTAATTTTTCTTGTTAAAATCTTTTAAACATGAGAACCTATTTGTTACTTGCTAATAATTTTGANAGTATCTATTTGTTATTTGCTAATAACTTTGAATTAATAATATATAATATTTCTAATATAAAAAGAAAAATTATTAGGGTAGAGTGTTCGAGAAGTGTCGGTATCGACTCGTGTTGGACACGGACACACTACCTTAATTGAAGTTTGTGCTATAGAGCTTGAGATCTTATGTACCTTTCATTGAGGCTAAAAAATCTTCCTTCGAGAGAGTAATCTTTTGCAGTTCTTTCCCAATAAGCTTCTCCCATGTCTGGACAACTTCTCTTTGTGAAAGAATATTTTTGGGAGGACTAATGTAGATTGTCTTGTTGAGGGTTCTTGGATCATCAATTGTTTTGATGGTATAGGTTGCTATATCATCTTCATTGTTATATATTGCTGCCCAAATCAAAGAAAATAAGTCTGGTTTCGAATAAATTTAGGGTTTTGCTACATGAATGAATTTTGCCACTATGTTCGGTTCATTTCTACCTTTTTTATTGCCATCTCCATATATAGTGACAACATCTCTAGAAGGAAGAATTTTTCCAATTTGACATAAACCTCCCAAAAAATAGCCTGCAAAGCAATTTGCAGAGACATAGGTGAAAGGAATCCCAGCCTCTTCAATTGCTTTCCTTACCACCATCTTCTCATCAAGCGTCACCTTTCCGGGATCCATGGCCGTATCCATTAATTTTCCGGGATCCATTCCGAACTCAGACGGTAAAAATCTCTACAAAAATCGATTTCATGTGCATTTTGTGGCATTGAAATAATCAGTCGGAAAAACATAATCACGAGTCGGGAAAAGGTAAAATCCCACATTACTTAGCTACAATTCCTTGGAAAATGGCATCTATCAAACAGGGCCTTAGTGTTACTACAAGAAATTTTACTTTTAACGACAAAAACTTGTCTTAAGAAGCATTTCAGAAACGTATTTCGACGAAACAACAAAAAAATGACTTTCGACTCCCATGAATAATATTTTGCAACCGAACACTTGTACTTGAGAAAAAAAAAAAATTATGTTGTCATAGGTAATCATGTATAACGAAAATTAATAAGTAATGCTCTTACCTTAACATTTCCAGCCTCTTTAATAGCTTCAACAAGCTTAAGTTGAAGCAGAATCTGATGACTCCGAATATGCACGCCAGAAATCGCGCAGATTACTACGTCGACCAGCTTCACAGCCTCCACAAGACTGTTCAAATCCTTGAAAGAACCAGGTACAAGATGTGCTCCTTGCATTTTGAATGATATTAGCATTTCAACTTTATCAATATCAACACCAATTTCCTCCCTATGTAAAATGTATGTTTCATGACCTTGAGCTAAACTTGCCTTAACCAATCTCCTCCCTAAGTAACCTGTACCCCCAATGATCAAAACTTTGCTTTTTCCCATCTCTCTTTCTTTATATATGTATAGATCTCTCTCTATATATGTATATATGAAGATGTTGGGGTTTATGGGTTTGTGGCCTATTTATAGAATGTGTCATAGGGTTCCAATTTTTGGTTACATACCAACTACTTAGGTTAATTTGGTTTTGAAAGTTTTCTACAAATAGTTGAATGGTTAAATTAACTTATTTCTTTCAGGAATGCTATTGAATTTACTTTATTTTATTATAATTAGCCACATTTTTTCATAATAAATTTTGTAAAAAAGTGTGTTTTTTTCTTTATTTTTCAGAATGAGTTTGGAAAAAATAAGTTTTAACGTACGAGGTTCAAATGATTTTATGATTTAAAAGTTTTATCATTGTATTGGAGCAGTGGAAATCTCCAAAATAAGCAATTGCTGTTAGATAACATTATTCTTTATAAATTGGTTTATTAATTATATTAAAATAAAATATTAATTTCAACTGCACATTCATAACTATTTACCAATTATCATCCACCTATTGTATGAGATTCATTATTATTCATTTTACTACTATTAATAAATTTGCCAAGCGGAGGATAAATTTGTGCAAAAAAATTTCGACCTTTAATTTTTGTAGCATCATGGTCCCTAATGAACGGTTTTTATCCGTATTCTTAAAAAGAAAAAAAAAAAAAAAACACCTAAATCTTACTAATTTGATTTAAGTTTTATAAAATAAAAATGATTAAACGCTTAATTTTCGTTAAATATAAATAAAATATGACTTTTTAACGATTAAATGGATGAAAATCGTCAGCTTGATTTGATTTCTCTTTCTTGAGCATCAAATGATATTGGTTTTGTAGACAGTTCGATATATCATTTTATAAAATTTGGTCAGCTCCCAGTTGAAGCATTTGACAAAACGTTCAATTGTCGCTTGGTAGGAACAAACCCTAGAGCAAAGTACGGAACTATTATTTGTTGCTTTTCTTGAAAATCAAGGTTTCTTTAATGTTGTTTGGAGTACGGCAAATTTCACCTGTCACTTTGCATAAAATAGGCACACAAGTTAGGTTACCAACATTTAAAAATTAGGTTTTATTAATCTTGACCTTCTATTAATTTTTTTTTTTTTTTTTTTTTCTCATTACTCACATACCTTTAGAGATGACGAAATATTCTTTTTCACCACATTTTGATTTTTGTTTTGCAAGAGATTTTGTTGTGTAAGAGAACCTCCTTAGAGTCGATTACTACATGGGATACCTCTATTATTATTTCTAAGATTTATCAAATACTTCCTTGACATGTAAATACTAAGGTAACAACGATAAATTTCATGTTGTAGTTAGATTGATCTTTATAATTTATAATACAAGAGTAGAATGGGCATGTTTCCCCTAATTTAATTATTTATATTTTTAGATATTGAATAGTATTAAAGTCAGATAAAAAACTTTAAGTTCAAGTCCCATTGCAGTCGATTGTATTCCGTCATTAGACTTATCACTGCAAGCAGGGGCGGAGCCAGCCTTTCAAATTAGGGGGGTCCCGGAGTTGAAGGGGCGGGGGCTCACGGGGGTCGGGACCCCCGAAATTTTTTTTTGAAACATTATCTGTTAAAATGAGAAAAGTTGGTACTTTGTGATGGAGAAATGAAACAAATGAACATAAATTAATGTACGAAAACTTCACAAAAAAATCAAGAAACATATAAAAGAAACTACTAATCTTTTGAAATACTTCTCCATCACTGAGCCTGAGAATTGAGAAAACTCTTTTAAAATAAAAATAAAAAAATTTCAAAAAATTTTGGGGGGGCCTCCCCTGATTGCAAGTAATAAAGTGATGAATTGAGTATCATTCTCACGAGAACTAACTATCTAATTATTTTACTTTAATTAAACATAGCTCAAATTTAAAAAACGCACTAGTATCTCGAATCCACTATTATTATTCTACTTTAATCCTTTCGCCGAATTTATTATTCGTTCTAGAAGACTACTTTTCAACCGCTTATAATATCTAAAAACTAGAAATTGAAACACGGCTTCTTTTCAAATGCACAAGTCCAAAAGAGGATGAAGAATTTTCACGCAAATGCTTTTCTTTTTCTTTTGAATAATAATTTTCAAGATAAGGTATTCTAGAACAAATATATGTGATTGGGTTCATGAAAAGGAATAAAAGTCAAAATAAATAAAATCATTTTTGTTAGTAAATCGTAAATTGGTAATTGGCTTGAATTTTGCTCAGATATGGATAGAATATTCACTTCAAAATGATGTGGGCCAGCAGAAAAACTCTATTTTTCTGAACATAGACTGGTACATTTTCTAGAATCACTTGAAATATTTGAACCAATTTTAAATTTTTAATTGATCTAGTTCTAAATCGAGAAATGAATCATTTTGGTCTGGTTCTCGATTCTAATTAGGTATGGACACCAAGTGGGCTAGTTTGGATATTTCAATGAAATTATTCAAGTTCATGTAATTACTAGAACCGAACTTGAACACAATGTCGGTTTCGATTTGTGTTCGAACCTATCCATAACATCTTTTAAAAAATCATGGGCTGACAAAAAAGATTATTTCTATTATTTAGATGGAATAGAAGAAATAAAATGTCACACAGTGCATATTTCAACCATTTATCCGAGACCGGTTGATTTCCAGTTTCGTTTCCTTTTTATAGAATCGAAATGAAACCCTTGATTCCGTTTGATAATAAACAATTTCGATGGCTTGACAAACATAATCGTGAATTATTCAAATAATCCAAAAGGCCAAAGAGTAACAACTTTGTGACTATTCAAAATAAATAAATAAATAAAGTTAAGTGACAGTTGGGAAGAAAAAAAAAAATTTGAACAATTTTCGATTTTTATCAACCTATCATCTAGTTTGTTCGTCTCCCAGGTATTTGCCGCGACAGCACCCACAATGGGATAACAGAACGGCAACAGCCTGCAATATTTAAGATTGATTCCCCACTCTCTCTCTTCTTTCGATCCTTCGACAAAAGTCATAGATATCGACTTTTCTTAGAACTACTTCAAGTACGAGCGCTAAGGAGCTGAATTCTAACAGAACTTTACCATAAAGCCTTGCTGAGGCTATCTGCTAAAATATATTACTGAAAGTAAATGCAAAACACAAGATTATCCCAGGAACTGTTCATTACATCATCTCATTTGTGCCTAGATAATGTCAGTTCAAACAGGAAAATACAAGGCACTTTCAGTAAGGAACAATGGATTCTATGAGCTCTTGAAGTGGAGCCAGCTCCTTCTTGTCAATCAGCCCAAACTCCTGCATTCGAAACATTCAAAGAAAATTTAAAAAGTTTCGTGACAACTGTAAATGGTATAACCAGTCTTATTTACCATCTTTTTTATGTTAAGCACAAAGAAGGAAATTATAAAGACACTGCTACTTTTAAAAATATTCAGTCCGAGAAAGGTGCTAGCAGTGTGAAAAGATTATGAAAAGGAAAAAATTGAGCTCCCAAGAATCGAAGAACTTACACAGGTAAACAGTATAAAATGCTTGAAGCAGGTATTTAGATGAGCCTCCTCCTTAAGACTCACGATCTTCTGAAAATGAGAGTGATATATATGTGCATATACACGGAACAGGCGTTTGAATATAGTCTTCACAACGTCCCTGAAGTTGGAAGGAAATGGCGTGCCTACAAATACTATATTCATTAATATGGTGTGCCAATATATAATACAGATGACTATCTTATACTCCATAAAAGACGTAACGAAACACATTTGGAAGCAGTTCAATTCTTACCAAGCTTTTGAGGAAATATCGATTCATCGTCCAACTGGGTTTCGATCCAGTCCATCAAGTACTCGACATATTTAGGAGCTGAAACCTCGATGGGTTTCTTGATTTGTACACCGTCTGCCCATCTGTACTCATACCTGCCAAAAAAAAAAATCCGAGAATTCAGTTATCAGTAGCATTTCTTTTTAAATTACAAATTTGTTAAAAATCTAAGCAGAATTAATGAAATTCCATAAATTGTACTCTGAAAAGTTGGAAGTAGGATTCTCCTAAAGGTGAATATAAAAGCAATGATGATCATTATTCAAAAACCTTAAAACTTGTCCATGCCTGGGGTGCACAAGGCAAGCTTCTTCACTAGTGCTAAACTTACTAGTCAGATATCAACTTTTTCTTTGCCTTTGGGATGTATATTTCGGGTTTCTTTAACTTTCCATAGGTTGGATTTGCAACAGCAAAAAATTTTAAAAACAAGAATGAATAAAATCTACAAGAAAGCTGTGAATATTTGTAGCTAACTTTTGTCCTATTAAATAGAAATTTTATTTTAGAAATTCCTCTATCAACTGGTAAGATGCTTAGATATTCAAACCAACACATCTCTCTCTTTTACCCCTTCCCACATGATAATGAACCTATCGAATGGCTACTCTGTGAAAGTAAAACCAAGTAATAATTACTCAGACGTACTTGGGACCAGCAGACATTGTTGGACAGTTTTCTGGTGTACAAAACTCTGTAAGGGTTCCATATAGCAGATTAACCTGGTTGAAGAAATCAACAGCTGGAAATTGAAAATAAAGTTTCAGTTTAAGTCCTGGGAGGAAATTCTTGTAGCATACAAGCAAAAAAAAATAAAATTGGATATGCCTAGGACTGGTATGCATCAGTAACATCGATTATATACAGTAATGGTGTGTAATTTTTTGAATTTACATACATTCTTTCACATGTGCATTTCATGCTTTTTATATCCTCATTGTTTAGAAGGATTCCTTATCGGTGGAAGGACGACCAACCTCCTTCAAAAGTTTTGATTTCTTATTTTCATATGCACTTTTTTTTTGGCACAAATTAAATGAAATTTGGATACGACAGACTTCAAGAAATAGAAGGGGAGGAAAAGAGAAGAGAATGGGTCGTTCTATAGGTTAAAATAAGCAATATGAAAACCGGCCCAGACATTGAACCGTAAAGCTAAAGGATCAAGGATCTACTCCGAACTAAGGTCGATCAAGTTGTAATAAATAAAAAAATTTATACACCACAAAAATAAGTTAATTTTTCATATTAACTAATATTATATAGAAGGGGAGGAAAAGAGAAGAGAATGGGTCGTTCCATAGGTTACAATAAGCAATATGAAAACCGGCCCACACATTAACCCGTAAAGCTAAAGGATCAAGGATCTACTCTGAACCGAGGTCAATCAAGTTGTAATAAATAAAAAAATGTATACACGACAAAAATAAGTTAATTTTTCATATTAACTAATATTATATAGACAAAAGCACCTAATAATAATTAAATTTCGGTACATTTATTTTTAAATTTGACAGATGGTGAAGTGCTTAATAATTTTATATTGTTATAGTGTGTAATGAAATTAAATAAAATAAGAAAGATAGCGTAAATTGAAATAGGCAAAAATTATATTGACGAGATAACAATTTTTTGGGCTTGGTCCTCTTTCACATCTTTTCAAATAACAACATTAACTATAATTGCAACAACACACCTTTTTATAATAACCAAAAAATATTCCAATATAAATTTTCTTTTTCTTTTTATAGCACTTCCACCTATTAAGTCGTTCAAATTTTATAATTAAAAAATTAGTTTCATAAGAGCTCTTTACAACAATATTTTCTTAAACTCAATACTAGGGTGTATCTTTTTTTTTTTTACCCCACATCTGATTCTTCTTATCGCAGCATTGAAGATATAGGATATAAAAGAGCCAGCAAACATATGGACAAATAACTTTTCTCAGCCGTCACATGCCTTGGGCTGCAAATTGTAAAATTATTTTTTAAGTAACCAAGCCAACCAGCAGAACCGGGGAAACCGGTCCTGGGTCAGCCGGTTAGCTGTTGGACAGGCCAATTGGCTTGTTTTTAAGCATTAACTGAACCAGATTTTAGACACGTTCCCGGGTTTTCCCAATTGAACTGGCGGGTCCAGTCCAGTGTTCATAACGTTGATAAAAAATGAAGTGATCAATACATTGTGCATCCAAGTATATACCAGTTACACCAATGTGTTGCTTCGTGCACACACACTAATACATGGGCATGCACACACATATAGATAGTTAGAGAAACAATACTATTGACGGCAAGCCATTCGTTGATATCTTCTCCAGGTGGTAGCCGTACAGCTTCTCTCAAATTTCCGCTGCCTAAAGTCGCATCGATATGCTTTCTTAGTTGTGCCCCCTGCAACACAAAAAAAGAGTCAAATTTAAGGATTAAGAATTCAGTATGTCTTAAAAATGATTTGTAAAGTAAAGGTTTTCGCATGTAGAATATGGAAATAAGAGCAATCAAATTAGCTAACCCAAGAAGAAAAAAATGTGGGCATATCCATCATTCTTTAGAGGAGGTGAATCAAGGAAGATGAATTAATAGCAAACTGGTTGTACAATATCATTTCAGGTCATAATCTTAAATAGGCATCCAAACTTCGAATTCTCAGCCTCATCAGCAGTAATAAATGCTAACGTGTTGACCCATATAATAAATGCAATTTTCCACCAAACAGTAGTTAAAATAAGTTCACGTTACATGAATTTACAACAATAGTCCATCAACTTATTGGAAAGGACTCGCTCATAGTTCATTTCCTCAATCATTTTCAATGAAACTTAGAACATAGCTTCAGTGCTTCCTCAAAATATGGTAACTCATCAATAACTGCATCTTTCTCAACTACCAGGAAGATGTATGGAAGGTTCAAACAATTTCATTCTTGAGCAAGATGACAGAACAGAGTACTAATGTAGTTTTTAACAATGTTTTGAAAACCAGCCAAAGCATCGACCTGGAAAAATTTAAGGGTCGAACTTCGAACCGGGATCGAATCGGTGATAAAAAATAATAATAATCAAAAAGTTAATTATATAAATATATAATGGAATAAATTCAACAGCAATTACGATTAAATACTGTAGAATAATGTGCAAAATTAATGAAATAAATTCGATAACAATTGCTATTGAATACTGTAGTAGGTAAAATTTAAAATACTACAGTAATTGTCAACTAATGTTAGTTTCATGTTAATTTCATCATTATTGAAGAGTGGGAAGTCAAAAAAGTCCATACGAGTGTAGGAACAGCGTATAATTTATTAAGTAGATTTTTTCCTCTCCCCAACATTCATTATCTTTATTCTTCATACAATAAGTATTAAGAATCATGAATCTCATTTCACATTTGTTCGTCGATGAAGGCACCAGTGAAGGCAACCTTCCCCTTACTTTTTATCACTTTCTCGTCACTTCTTGTCCATTTTTTCCCCTTCTCTAAACAATTCTTTCACTGTTTTTGCTTCAAAAGATAACTGGCCAATTCGGTTAACCCATATCCAGGTTTACCGGTTTGCGTTTAACCGACTGGGTGAGCGGGGTTTACACCAGTTATTTAATAAACGGTTTTTGGTTTTTGAGCTCTACCGAACCGATAACCGGTCTTTCCAATAGAACCGGCCGGTCTATTCCGATTTTCATAACACTGATTTTTAGTGGAAAATTTAAGATTGCAGCAAAGAACAAGAAGCTTAACTTCACAAAAGGCAGTAATAGGAAAACGGCATAAAAATTAGAAGAACACAAGCGGGAGGACACGTCTCTTTAGTATGGGAAAAAAGGCACCTTACTGCCTGATGGTGCATTTTTCTTTGGTCGGAATGTTCTTTGATTCCTGCTTCAGAAATTACAAATCAAGCTATATAGGTCATTGATGAACACGATAGTAAAGCTTTGCAAGCATTTTCTCCAATTAATGCTACTGTAAACATATAATTTGGGTGTTTGTAACAATATTGGAGCTACAAATAACAGATGCATTCAACGAAATCCACTATCACAGGAATACACGTTTCAATACTTTTAAGTCCTACATTTATCAGCCAGATCCCTCTGCCATCCATTGGAACATAGCTGTGTAAATTACCAGACTAAACAGTTCTTGTGTACTTCTATAACATAGAGCAATACACAAACCACCTCATGTTGTTAGACGCACTTTGAAAAATGGAATCACTATCTGACTCTAGTTTCCAAAACTACCCTACTTAGAAACAAACCAGTTTTTAAAAAGAATAAATCAGTTAAAGATGTTTTGCATCTGTAAGGCAGGCATCAACCTCAAAATAGACCAATTCAATAAAAGACGCATAATAAAACTGTGCAGCAAAATTGAAAGCCTAATTAGAAACTATAAACATAAATGAATTGACAATGTAACAACTAATAAATACAAAGTAGTAATCACAAAACAAGAACGTTGATCCCAAGTATAACTAAAAGTCGAAGAGAAGTACATAGCGTGCCTTACAGTGCAGGAGTAAAGGAGAGGGGAGCATAGGATCTTCAGTAATCTCCAATTCTTTTCATTTAGCCCCCTGTTTGGGCTCCAATAAAAATAAATGTTGGGGAAAATGTGTTTTGATAAAATGAATTTTTGGAGAATGTGGGGCATAAAAATAAGGAAAAAATTTGGGTATACGTGTAATATTATTTTATTGGAGAATGTGTAGTTGAAAATAAGAAAGATAAAAATATATTTTTTAAGAAATGGAGCCCAATCAGGGGCTCAATGTTATACAATTGGGTTGTGTTCCAAACTGCGCTGCAATCCTTCATAACATTGCAGGCTATGACAAAACCAGCAGAAAAGGTTGAGGCCAGTAATACAACAATCTAGTAAGGGCAAGACTTAAGGCACACCTTAGTCATTGGCCTCAAGTCTCAATAAGTCGAGGACCTCAAGGTGCAAGCCAACAAGGAGAACCTAAAGCGTAAGCTTTGACGACACTAATGAATGCCTCATACAAGGTGTGCCTCGAAGCAGGCGAGTGTTCTGAATTCATTAAAATTCAAAAAGAAAAAAATCTGATAGTAACCTTAACCAATCCAATAATCAAGTTGAAGATCATTAAACAACTTAACCAACTTTGTTCCTGTTTCTTTAGTTGGACTCATGTCCTAGTAAATGAATAGGTCTCAAGAAATGGGCAGGAGTTAGCTAGGGAGTGAATCATAAATGAAATGACACTATTGTGTTCAAATATGTTAAAAAGTAAGCGACAATATACACTCTCTCAGATATAAATATCGGCATATCATATGAGGTGACCATTCCTTTGATGGAAAATTCATTTCAAATGCATCATGTAGAATAGCGGGTCCATGGGAGTCAAATCACGCAACATAAGTTGGTGATGATTGATGTGTCATTTGGTAAAGAAAAAACAAAGAGGTATGATTGTAGAACATGAGAGTGGAACCCAAAGAGTGAAACAAAAGTAAATTAAGGATAGTTTTAAAATTGGGGTACAGATGGATTTAATAACTTTATATCGGAAAAGATAGCTAGATGCATTAGAAGCCATAAAGAACATATTAAAAGATTTACCAGTAGAAGGATATCTAATGAACAAATGTGACGTGGAGGGATTTGAGTATTTTCGTCATCTCCTCCGCCACACTAATTTATCATGTAAGCTGTTGATCTAGTTGGGTATTACGGTGTAGGAAGCTAGCAATTTGAACGCAAACTAGATTAAAAGTAGGAGTTGAGGGCACTGCATGTAAAGAATTATTGTTGTTTAATTTTAACCTATGATGCACAGACACAATACCTGTGTCCAAAATAACACGTGTCAGATACGTCGACGTGCGATTTTTCAAAAAAGTACTAACACGACACATCTCGACACATTAATTAAATTCTTTAAAATTTTTCGTTTATATAGTATAAATTTAGTTTTATTCTTGTTATTATTTTTGCTTATTGAAATATTTTTAACTATGAGTACATATTTTAGTTAAAAATATATAATATTTCAAATAAGAAAAGAAAAATGATCATGGTAGTGTCGGACACGGATACACTACCATAGTTGAAGTGTAAGTGCTAAAGAGATTTTAACAAGTTTTGTTGATCTGGAAAATGTTGTACAAGTTAATCCTGCACCAATAGGACAAGTGATAAGGCTCATTGAGTATGATTGGATTGGTAATAAAAAATATGATTGCATTCATTCCATCACGGAGTAGCGTTAAGGAATGAATATCTCATTACTTCCAATTTATCTTACGTGGGAATATGTTCCTGGAGAATATTAGTGCCTCTAATGAAACTAATCTGCAATATGCTATAGTTCAAAAATAAATAAGCAATCATATGTAAACGCCGCAGTGGAAGCATTTAATAGGGACAATAACCACTGTGAAACATTCAATCATGAATATAACTAATCGACGGAAACATACCCACTGACAGAAGATCATGGCTCCACCAATATATGCCATATAAACCAATAAAACAAATTTCAATCCCTCTTCTGATCCCGTTTTCCAATCATTTAATCAAATCATATTCTACAGATTTGAACTTACATCTTGCAATAATATTTCCTTGCAACACACAATCAAATCCTACGTTCATATTTATCTTTAAATGAATAACAAAGTGAGTAAATTCTCAACCCTTTGTTAGATCTCTCGATCACCATTTTCTCTAATAAAAATTCATTATTTGGTACCACAATTCATATTATATCTTAAAATCTAATAACATCACATAACCAAAGAATATACAAAGAACCCGGATGAATAAAAACAACAGATCTGACACAAGGCAATCATTTAACAGGAAAATCATGCCCAGATAAAAGGGTTCTGAGAAAATTACCTGCCAAGGCCAAAAAGACTCATTTTTCTTCACAAAGGAGCGGGGGGAGGGAGAGAGGGGGGGGCGGGGGGGAATTGTTTAATATGGAAAGTCGAAATGTTTATGCGGGCGCCGGGCAGTACAAAAATTAGTGGAAGCGTCGAAAAATGCTGTCGAGCACTGACTCGGCATCTCAATGTAATAAACGGAGTGGGGTTGAAATAAAGAAAAATGACATTCATCCCTAGTGGACATCCTCAGTCTATGTGGATGTAAATGATTGATTAAATGATAAGTGAAATTAAATAACTTATTTAATTTTACATATCATTTAATGTCACATTAACGCCACATAAACTGAAAATGCATTTCCAGTGGGGATGAATAGTATTTTTCTGAAATAAAGGGTCTTATTCCCATTCTGTTGCTCCTAAAGTAGAAGCGGATTATGGCACGTGGCCTGCTGGAAATACTTTTGGGAGAATTTTCTTATTTTTAGGGAAAATTACAGTGGAGGTCCCAAACCTTTTATTTTGCTGCAGAGTATACCTTAACCTTTTATTTTTGAGACCTTAGTCCCATATCTTTAGTTTTAATGCATTCATAGTCCATATATTAGATTCCATCAAAAATTCCGTTAGTCAACACTAAAATTAAAACTTCGACTCTAATTGACAAATTAACTGCTTGTTTGGGAGGGATTTACTCAATATTTGAAGCCATTTTATGTTAGTTAGCAACTCAGAAATAGGTCACATTGTTGCTATGTATTTACTGTCATCATTTGAAATTATCACCTAAAAATGATAAAAGGCGGTATTACCCTTTTTATTACTTTGAATTACTTATATATTCCTTTCAACAACCATGTTTAACTATTCTTAAAGGATATTATTTGAAAATGATGATAATTTATTGGAAAGGTAACCAAAAGCAACAACTATAATAGGACCCACTTCTAAGTCACTAAGATAATAAAATGACTTATGAGTATTTTCAATTCACATGAAAAATATATCTTATAAAAAAAATTATTTTCCTTATTTTGAGGAGAATAAAAACTTGCTCCTTCCCAAAAAAATGTTTTCCTTTAAAATAAGTAAAATTACTAAATTAGGCATATTTTTAAATTTTGAAAAATAATTTTATGGAAAAAATAGAAATCAAACACTTCAAAATAGGAATTTGAATGAAAAATTGACATTTTGCATCAAAAATAAGTGCAATCAAACACACCTTAAAAGCTTGGAAAAATCCATCTATCTAAATGAAGGGCAAAATAGTATATTTACAATTTTATAACAAAACAATTAAAATAATTAAACCAAAAATGAGAGAAGACTTGTCATCTTTCCCAAACCTTCCCACTCTCACTCACCCCTATCCTTACCCTTTTCTAAATGCAAGGGCTGTTCGGTAAAGATTAAAATCGAATTAAAATTGAAAAATTAGTCGTTATTGTTAACTTTTATTAGACGAGTATGACCCAATAACGACTATATTTTTAATTTTAATCGGATTTTAGAAGCAAATATCAAGAAACCCAGTCATGTAAGTGGTCATCGTCACCACCGATCCGCCAACGCAAGCTGTCCACCGATTGAATATATGCGTTTTCCTATATCCCCTTTCCTTTAAAAGAGAGGATGCGAATCCCACTGTTCAATTCGTGCCCTGCCTTTCACACTTTAACTGGTTTTTTTAACTGGTTATGTAACAGTGACATACCTTTCACACATATCAATTGGCATGTTATTTTTTCTTTTCTTTTTTTAGGTGA